GAACGTGCAATCTTTGAGGTTCCTCAGCCTCACTCCCCCTGCAGCTTCTCCTTTCCCTTGTTACAGTGAGGCTGGACAAGCTCTCGGAGGTTGCCAAGGTGAACACGGATGCCATCCGCTTGGCCCAGGAGGAGATCTGCGAGTACCGCCGCCAGCTCCAGTCCAAGACCACCGAGCTCGAAGCCCTCAAGGGGACCCAGGAGTCACTGGAGAGGCAGAGACAGGACTCGGAGGAGCGCCATCATGCAGATGTCTTGTCCTACCAGGTAACATGGTGCAGTGGGCAGTGTCCCAGACATCATCTGGTGGGGAGGGACCATCCAGCTGCCAGAGAGGAGCAGTGCTGGTGCTTTGGCTTCAGAGATGGTGACCACCAGCAGCAAATCCTCAGGGTTGTGTCCAGAGCCAGCTTTCCCCAGCTCCTGGTGATCACATACCCAGAGCCTACAGTTGCATCCAGACTGTTGTGTCTCTCACCCATGATGAGGCTGTCCCACGGCTTTGAGCTGCTCATGATGGTGGTCACAAACACCACTGAAGTGTGGCCAGGGTTCCCGTGTCCCCCAGCTGTGAGCTGCAGCACAGAGGGCTGCACCAGGCGGTGGCCGTGGACTGAAATGCTGTCCCTGGGGTGATACTCCATCAACCTAAGGCTGGGGTTTGGTGGCCACCAGACTCATCCAAGTCCTAGAAGTGTTCCCACAGTTTGTCCCTGCTAGAGGAAGTTCTGGGAGGGGGCCCAGGGCTCAGCTGGCTGTAGTGTAGCTCTGAGGTGGTGCAGGGCTCCTGTCGGTTCCCCCAAGGGACCTGGACACACTGAAACAGCCCCAGGACACATCCCCTTTCCTCTTTGTCTGCAGGGGGAGGAGGGTGCAGACCCCTCTGTGAGAGCACCCCTGTCCCTCCTCTGGAGACCAGGGGACTGTTTATGGGTGCATGTGTCCCTCTGCCCCTGAGGGCTGCCCCTCCCCTGTCATCAATTGCTTTGTCTGCCCACAGGAAACCATCCAGCAGCTTGACAGTGAGCTGAGGAACACCAAGTGGGAGATGGCAGCTCAGCTCCGGGAGTACCAGGATTTGCTCAACGTCAAAATGGCCCTGGACATTGAAATTGCTGCCTACAGGTACAGAGGCAGCTGTGGGAAGGTGGGAGGGTCTCAGCCAGCCCCTAGTTGGGGATGCTCATCTATAGGGATGCTCCTTAAGGGCCTTCACCAGCACCTGGGCCCTTCTCGGTGAGAAAGAGACACTTCCACCCTAAGACCATGGTGGGCAACATCCAACTGGGTAACCCAGCCCTGCACATGGCTTGCAGAGGAAAGGGTGGGGAAACCTGCCCAGCTCAGAGTGTAGGAGCAGGAGGGTCAGCCAGCTCCTCGAAAGCAGGGCAAGGAGGGAGATGAAGTTGCAGGGCATGGCTGGCAGCTCCTGGTCGTGGGAGAAGGAATTACTGACTGCACTGCTCTGGTCTCTTCCTGACAGAAAGCTCTTGGAAGGGGAGGAATATCGGATCGAATCTGGCTTTGGGATGATCTCCTTTCCTGAGGTGGTCCCCAAGGCTCCCAGCATAGCCACCAACATCAAGGTGAAGAGTGAGGAGAAGATCAAGGTTGTGGAAAAATCTGAGAAGGAGACAGTGATTGTGGAGGAGCAGACAGAGGAAATCCAGGTGACTGAGGAGGTCACAGAGGAGGATGAGGCTGAGAAAGAGGCTGAAGAGGAGAAAGCTGAAGAGGAGGAGGAGGAAGAAGAGGAGAAAGCTGAAGCAGAGGGTGAAGAAGAAGAGGCCAAGTCTCCTGCAAAAGAGGAGGCCAAGTCCCCAGAGAAACCAGAGTCCCCCTCAAAAGAGGAGGCCAAGAGCCCAGCAGTGAAATCCCCAGAAAAGCCACCAACCCCCTCAAAAGAAGAGGCCAAGACCCCAGCAGTGAAGTCCCCAGAGAAACCTGCAACCCCCTCAAAAGAGGAGGCCAAGAGCCCAGCAGTGAAATCTCCCGAGAAACCTGCAACCCCCTCAAAAGAGGAGGCCAAGAGCCCAGCAGTGAAATCTCCTGAGAAACCTGCAACCCCCTTGAAGGAGGAGGCCAAGAGCCCAGCAGTGAAATCTCCCGAGAAACCTGCAACCCCCTTGAAGGAGGAGGCCAAGAGCCCAGCAGTGAAATCTCCCGAGAAACCTGCAACCCCCTTGAAGGAGGAGGCCAAGACCCCAGCAGTGAAGTCTCAAGAAAAACTCCCAACCCCCTCTAAAGAGGAGGCCAAGACCCCAGCTGTCAAATCCCCAGAAAAGCCCCCAACCCCCTCAAAAGAGGAAGCCAAGACCCCAGCAGTGAAGTCCCCCGAGAAACCTGCACCCCCCTCAAAAGAGGAGGCCAAGACCCCAGTTGTGAAGTCCCCAGAGAAACCTGCACCCCCCTCAAAGGAGGAGGCCAAGACACCAGCTGTCAAATCCCCAGAAAAGCCCCCAACTCCCTCTAAAGAGGGGGCCAAGACCCCAACTGTGAAGTCTCCCGAGAAAGTAAAATCTCCTGTGAAGGAGGCCAAGTCGCCACAGAAGGAAGCAACCCCGACCAAGGAGCCCACTCCCTCTCCTCCAAAGGAGCCAAAGACCCCTGCAAAGGAAGAGCAGCCCAAGGAGACAAAGGCTGCTTCCAAGCCTGGAGCTGAAGAGGGCAGGAAAGAGGAAGCTCCCAAGAAGGAGGTCCCAGCCAAGGTGGAGGAGAAGCCCAAGGAGAAGGCAGCTGCTGTGCCAGAGCCTCCAGCCCCACAGGTAAAGGAGACCACTAAGCCAGCTCCCAAACCTGCAGAAGAAAAGGCTGAGAAGGAGGCTCCACCAAAACCTCAGCAGGAGGTTGGCAAAGCATCTGCAAAGGAGGCTGAGAAGCCAAAGGCTGAGGAGAAGGTGGAGGAGCCCAAAGCTAAAGCGAAACCCAAAGATGAGCCCAAAGCCAGTAAAGAGCCCCCCAAGGCTGAGGCCCCCTCCAGCAAAGAGGGCAAAGCCCCAGAGCCAGCACCCACCACAGGAAAGAAGTGAGTGGAGCCCTGGGCGCTGAAGAGCACCCTCTGGGTGTGGGAGCTGCTCCGCTCCCCTCTGATGACTGGGCCCAGGGTGGGGACTCCCCAGCCGGGCCGGGCTTTACCTTAGCAATATGTCCGTGAGAGATGCAGCCCCTTGCTGCCCTGCCCGGCGGTTTGGCCGATAGCTTCCCTAGCAGAATGTGATGTACGCCGAGCACATTTAAACACTTGAATTATAACCGAGAAGAGACCCCGGGGGAACCCACTGCCCTTCTCCAATTAAGTGCATTTATTTAATGTATGTGCAATCGATGGATGAGTGCAATGCAGAGCTCTGGCTGCTTGGGACGGGGGCTGGCGGGGTCCTTGGGGTCTTTTCCTGCCTTCAGGGTGACAACTGTCCCTCTGAGCAGTGACCCAGGCTGTAGCCAGCTTCGGTGGAAGAGGCTGGGCGAAAGCTCCCAGGCACACGGTGCACTAGGAACCTCAGCCCACTGTTATTTGCTTTCTGTGCAATAACCAAATAAAGTGCTTACACAGACACCTCTGCTCTACTGGCCTCCTGTCTGGGGTGGGAGGAAGGGGTGGTGAAAGGAGGCAAGAAAGGCTGGCCTCAGGGGCTGGGATCTGTCACCCAGGGCTGGGGGGTGACATGGGGCTTGCCAGCATCCTGGCCCACCACAGAGCAGGTGCAAAGGATGCAGTGGGCTACCTGCCTGATCCCTGCCTGTGCAAGGGCTGGAAACAGGGCCAGCCCTCCTCTGCTCTGCAAGGATTTGAGAGGTTTGGCGGGGGTTTTTTTTGGTTGTTTTTTTTTTTTGTTGTTCCACCCCTGTTTAAGCGCAGCACCCCAGGGGCTGGCAGGGCCTGGTTTAACCCAAGTGCTGCAGCACCACCCTGCACTGAAGCACCGCGCTGATAGCAGGGGCTGCACAGGAGCACGGAGAGGGGCTGTCAGCCTCCCTGAGGGAGAAATCACCCATAGGGGAGACACAGAGAGGCTGGTGGCCAGAAGGGACAATGACCATGGGATCTGCCAAGCGCAGCACCCCAGGGGCTGGCAGGGCCTGGTTTAACCCAAGTGCTGCAGCACCACCCTGCACTGCAGCACCGTGCTGATAGCAGGGGCTGCACAGGAGCACGGAGAGGGGCTGTCAGCCTCCCTGAGGGAGAAATCACCCATAGGGGAGACACAGAGAGGCTGGTGGCCAGAAGGGACAATGACCATGGGATCTGCCCAATTCTGCCACCCTGGCAGCAGGGAGCTGTGAGGGGCTGGGGCAGGGACACATCCCAGCTCCCTGCCACCAAGCATGGCAAGCTGGGGCGCTGGGACTCACACCCCAAGCCCCAACCCCTTGCACAGCACCATGAGGTCCTGCCTCTCACAGGACACTGCTCTGCAAACCCAGGGAAGAAGCGAAGGCCCCCCTCGCTGGGAGGTTTGTGCCGACTCAGCTGGCTGGCGGCCAGCGCAGGCAAGGACACGCTGCGGCTGCAGTGCGGGCTCCGGAAAGCAGATATTTATAGCCATCTCAATTTTTTGCCATCTCAGTTCCGAGGCCCTGCGGTGGGGAGGGAGGGCAGGAAGCAGGCAGCACCTCAGGCAAGGGGGCACAGCAGCAGCAAGACGCTTGCCAGAGCCAGGGGACATAGCTTGCTGCAACCCCCATGGGTTCCCCCACCCCAGCCCTCGGTGCAGACGGGGCATCCACACGCTTTTCCTTCAATTCAGCATTTAATCCCTTCAAAACTTCAAACGAAACCCAAAGCTACAAAACCTTCAAATGAAAACCTCAGAAAAGAAAACAAAATGCTGGGATGGCGACAGTCCTCCTGGAGAAGGAGAGGACAAGACCTCCAAGACAGGACAGGGCTCATCCCAAAGTGATGCCCAGGGAGAGCTCAGCGATGGCTGAAGAACCCCTGTGGGTAGTTAAACTTGAAGGGCTTCAGGCGCATGGGTCCCCTGGAAGAAAAGAGGGAGAGGGCTGACCCATGGGGGTCAGGGAGTCCACAGCACCCGCAGAAGGGCCCTGGTCCTGGGACAGTTCCCCACAGGCAGCTAAAGAAGCTTTGAGGTTGGCACCAGCTCAGGCAGGGCCATGCTCCAGGGGACAGCAGTGCCACCAGAGTCCCTGCCAGCACCTTCACCCCTGACTCAGCTCCTCCCTGCACCAGGATCCACTCCCAGGGCACCAGGCTCTCACCTGACCAGGCGCAGACACATCTTCTCTTGGGGAAACTCTTTGGGCCCCTCCACGCTGGGGTCATGGGGCTCTGTCTCCAAGTAGACATCCAGCACCATGCACAGGCGCTGCAGCTGGTTGGTGAGGAGCTGGTAGCCCGGTTTGGGCCCCCACAGCTCCTTGTAGTTCACGTTGACCTCGCTTTCCATGGCCTGGCAGAGAAAGTGGGACAGCACAGGCTTGGGTCTCTGCTCTGCCCTTCCAGGACCCATGGCTGCACCTGGCAGGTCTTGTGAGCCTGTTCTGCGCTGCCTGGCCACCAGCTCATCCCAATGGCTCAGTTATGGACAAAGAACCACTGGGAACATCCCCCAAAAACCTCCCTCAAAGCAGCCTGGGAGGTTCTCCAGCCTCCTCTCCCTCTACCCCGGGTTACCCGAATGTTATCGTCGTTGCTGCTGTTGCGCTCTCCTTTCCAGTTCAGGCACAGGCTGAAGACAGGCGGCAGCGTTGAGTAACCGGGGTTCACGACCACAGCAGCCTGGAGCTTGGCTGAGCAGGGTAGGGAAAAAACGTCACTCGCAGCACCCATGAGGCCTCCAATTGAAGGGATGTCCCACAAAGACCCCCAGAAACTGCCTTGGCATTTCTGATGTGGGATTAGCAACTGCTAGGGGATGAAAACGTGTCTACCTGTTCCCCTTTCTATCAGAGCCATGTAGTAGAGGTGAGTGTCTTCAGCCAAGCCGGCCTCTATCACATCTTTCGTGTAGTGCAGCTCCTGCGAGAAGCAAGAGGAGGAGTGAGCAGGAGCCCCTGCCGCCACACGGGAACCAGAAGGGATCCAGCCTTGTGCTCAGTGCTTACTGCGTAATCTTCATAGGGGATAGCAACCCACTTCACCAGGCGTGAAACGATCTTGGTAGGGAAGAGATGCTGGCACTCACTGGAGACTGGCACAACGCCGTGCTCTGAAATCAAGGACAAGGCCACCTGAGCAGAGGAGGGCTGGGGACAGAGATCTGCCACTGTCCTTTAAGTGGGGACACTCCAAAACCAGGATCTGGGCACATCCTTATCCTTCCAACACCTTCATCAGGTGCTCAGAGGGGAGCAGTGGAGGCCTCGGTTGTAATCCCACCGGAGCTGGCAGCCTTGGCAGTGCATGCTCAGCCTGATCAATGGGTGCATGACATGCAGGGGTGCATGATTCACCTCCCACCACAGTCCGAAACAATTCCCAGCACAGGGATGGCCCATCCCAGAGGGATGCTGGGCACTGACAGTGGCACAGCCTTCCTCTCCCACCCAAAACAGGGCAGCTCTCACAGCCCCGCTGCCACCCAGGACAGAGGGAACAGCTGGGAACGCTGAGGGTGGCACTGCAGATCCATAGGCACCATGCGAGGTGACATCAGCCAGCTCTCCTCTGCAAGAGGACCCTGCCACTGCACCTCCCATCCTCAGGCACGGGATGGGGAGCCCAGGCACTCACCAAGTGATGCAAACTGCTTGTGGAGAGCCAGGCGGGACTGCAGCCTCGTCCGCAGCAGCTTCACCGTCAGCTCCATGTGGCTGGCGCTCAGCGAGTTGTCCGCAGTGATTGTGTGCTGTGGGCAGGACGGGCCCATCACCATCACCAGCCTGTGGAACCCCACTGGGGACCCCATGCTCCAGGAGCCACCCCACTCAGCCACAGGGACAGGCACATGCTTGAATTGCTGCTCAGTGCCCGTAACACAGTTTAGACTATCACATCTGGGAGATAAACTAAGCTGCCATGGCCCCACTGCACAGATTCATTCAACTGAGCCTGTCCCAGCCCAGGGTGCGCAGTGGTTTGGTGTGGGCTGGTGCCAGTAGGAGCTCTGGGGTCTGGGGGGACGAGACAGGACATGACAACTGTCCCCAAAACCTCCCCAAACCCCAGCTCGATGTTCTGCTGGAGAGGGGAGGGGTGTCACATACCTGAGGCTGATCCTTGGGGAAATGCAGGCCGCCCAACTTCTGCACCCACACATAGGGGTGCCCCAGCTCTGTCACATAGTCGCTCAAGGTCAGGATGCTGTGGGGACAATGACAAAGGGTTACGTCACCCCAGAGCACTCCCCCTGTCCCCCCACTGCCCAGCCTATGAGTCAGCTGGAAGGAGCTGGTGCTTCTTTCACCTGCATCCCAAGCTGTGCCCGGTGAACCCACCTGATGCTGACTGGCAGGACACCAGCCTCCTGGCCACCAAACCCACACCATGGTGGGAGCAGGGCACTCACACCAACCGCCTGCACTCACCCCACTTTATCGAACTGGAACTGGTTGGCCGGGTTGGGTGTTTTCCTCCCGTGGTCTCCAGGATAGAGGCAGTTGAGGAGGGAGTCTGGGGAGAGCAGGTCACTGGCAGGAAGAGGGAAGAGGTTAAATCAGCAGCAGCCTGGGTTCCATGGGCTCTCTGGGGTGGTCATTAACAGGCTCTGAGCCCAGAGGCAGGCATTACGAGCTCTGTAAGTTGAGTTAAGACCACAATGGTTTGTTTTCCCCTAATTCCACCCTGAAAGAAGATCTGTCTCCTTCTGTGAGGAAGCTAGAAATCATGGGGCAACAGCTTCCCTGTTTCCCAGGAAGCTGCTCACTCCTGTGCAATAACACCCAAGCCTGCTGATGTGTATGGAGAAAACACTGTCCGCATAGGCAGGGCACAGTCTGATGACTGCTTGCTAACAAAAAAGGAACCTAAGCAGAGGAATTCTGCTTAAATAAAAATGAAATAAAATTCTTCATGTCTGACTGCACTCACAAGCCCAACCAAGTGTAAAAGGCTGCAGGATCTGGG